GCAGCTGGGTTGAGCTCGTCGAGCAGAGCTGTCAAGCTTGAGGGGTGTGCGGCACTTTTGGCAATACATGATGCGTTATGAATAGTCTGCACTAATTCAACATGGCTGCAACATGCATGGGTATGTGGCTGTCAATCTCAGTATTACCGTTCGTCAGCGAAAGATTGGTTTGGTTGGTTGTTGGAGGAAGCTTTGGAGTTGAGGTCCAGGGACACTGGTGTGGTTGGACAGGTTCCCAAGCTGCGTCACACCCCATCAGCACCCTGCACCAGCAGCACGCGCGGCGGGGCCTTTGGGTAGCCTCCCTGTACTACTCGAAGTCCGGCGAACATACGCTATAGTTCCCCACTAGAACGACGGTCGACAGTGTCATCTGCGGGGCACTATTGATCGCGTGGCCCAAGCGTCACATGCAGACGCGTGGGACAGCTCCATCACGCCCACCTTACCCGCGTCAAAGCGCGTCTCAATTAAGCCCCTGGCTCGACGTCGCTCCAGTGACCGAGTAGATTCACCTCAGAGCCTGGATCCGGGCGATACCAGTTGAGGCGGCGCAAAGCAAGTCGTGGGTTCCGTGTCAGATCAAACAGGGGAGGAAATCAAGGCCTGTTCTTCCACAAGGCTCCGTGAGGACCGACATGGAGTCTCCCGTAAAGCGCCAGCGATTAAACCATACACCAACAAGTCGTCTTCAGCATGAGGACGACGAGCTCGACTTTGAATCCGAGAATGTCGATCATCAACGAGACTCCGGCCTCCAGCTCGCAGAGTCCAGGGCCTTCGCTGCTTACAAGCTCAAGTCGACATTCGAGCACATTTTTGAAAAGTACGAACGAGACTTCACAGGAATTGGAGATGAGATCGACCTACGAACAGGAGAGATCGTTGTCGACAATGGCCACATCCAACAATTGGGCCTAGGCGGCGTGGATAGTTTTCTTGAAGAAGACGAGGGCATGCTTCTGGAAGATGCGTTTGTGACTTCTGATGAAGAAGATCATGGGCAAGGGCAACCTGGCTTCTCTTCAAAGCCACAACCGCGCGACACTTTGCGGCCAGGGGAAGGAGAGGAGCCTCGAGCTTCAGAGCACCGACAACCGCCGCCACTCAGCCCAACCCAAGCGGCTGCCACTTCGGCACTCCAAGGCGGAGAAGGCCCCGAGCCTTCAACACCGGGCGGTCTTGGAACTGAGCACAGGCTCTCAAAAGTAGCGTTCTCTCGACATGCCCCTCCACGCTCCTCGTCCTTGTCTCGAGGTGCATGGGGCCCAGACCATGGTGCTACAGATCCGCTTTGGAGGACGCCACGGCTGCCTTCACCGGGATTTAGCGATGATATCACGTCCAAGTTTCAAGGCATGAGGTACAGTGTCCCTGTCGCCGAGAATGAGGAGTCTATCTGGTCGCTGGCTCCGGCCGATATGGTGTGGCCTCTGAGCCCGTACAAACCTGCTCCATCGCCTTCAAGCCGTCACTGCAAGAGTCCCCGAGGCACTGCTAAGACGGGGCAGCGCAGGCCTTCTCTTGTACCAGCAGATGGGCAGGACGAGGATGAGATTCTTTCTCATGTTGGGACCGGATCGGCGGCTACAAGTCCAAATAAATCAAAAATCTCCCAATCGACACCGAAGAATCAAGAAGTCAATGGGCAAAATCGTGGGGAAACGAAACAGTCGGACGAAAGCAAACACAGTCGTACAGGAAACCCAGCTAAAGAGCGAAAAAAGCCTCCAGGAAAGGCGAAAGGCATCAGACCCGTGGGTCGACCTCGAAGTAAGACTGCAATCCCTGGCGTCAAAATCAGCAGCAGGGCCAACACCACGCCGCTAGATCAAACTTCACAGCTTCACGTCGCGCTGGTCACCGCCAAGAGAGGGCCTGGCCGGCCCAGGAAAAACACTTCTCATGAAGTACCGCAACTGATACCAGAGCATACCATCCCTCAGTCGACACTCCCCGTTCAGGTAGACGAGCCACCTCGGAAGTCCAATGTTCAGCAGCTCGTTATCGAGCTTCCCAGGCGACCGGAACCACCGGGGCTAACAGAGGTAGGCGACATAGCCTTTAAATCACCTCCTCGGAGCACCGAGGAGAATACTACGACTCATATGTCACAGACGAAAGCAAATGCGTCTCCGCCAAGGATAGAGCACGTCGCGTCGAGTATCCCTGACTCTCAAGCGTTGAGCTCCCTGTCCTCTTCAGCCCCCGCAATAGAGCCACCTGCAGAAGCGAAGCCTCGAGAAACGGTTGGCAAAGCGTTGACAGAAAGCTACCAAAGAAACGAAGTTGATCCTTCTTACGAGTTCTCCGACGAAGAGAGTGGAATTCCGCTTGCGAAAGGTGTCACTGGAAAGCCTGACGCGCGTTCTCGATCTGTACAAACTTCCGACTCGTCGAATGTAGCACTACCAAGAGAATCAGAAGCTGCAGCTGCATCCGGAAAGACACAGGCGCATACTGTAGAAGGAGAACAGAGAATGGTTGATTTGCCTACACCAGAGGTTTCTGTGCCTCCAGGTAACCCAAGTAAGGGGGGAGACCGTACCGAAGTCTCGACTATACAGGAGGACCCGGCCGGAAAGGCTGCGACGCCACCTCAGGTCAAGAAGCCAGAATCTGCAGCTCAAGATTTGTCCCTCAACGCGGCAATCGATTTGCCGTCTCAAGTATCAAACGAGCGTACAAGTCGGCCAACAGAACAGTCAGAGCCTGCGATAGCTGTCGAATCGGCGCCTGACTTACCAACCGACTCTAGCGTTTTGCCACCCTTGCAGCAGACTTCAAAGGACGAGCAATCGACGCAGAAGAAAACTTTCCTTGAGGTGCCTGATTCAGATTGCCTTGATGATAACCTGGAATCATCACTACGGGAGGTATCACAGTCCCTCGCGTCGACTCAGGACAAAGACTTTGCCGTCCAGTCTCCCACGTTGCCGCTAGCTTCTGAAACTATCTGCAGCTCCAAGAAGAAGAAGACGAAGCAGAGGAAGAGAAAGACGAAGACATGCATTCCTGTTTCCGAAGAAGAGCACTCGGCTATCGTACAGCTCTCACAGGCACCACAAGGAGAAGCCGATGTCGTGGGAGCCGACATTCCCAGAAGTTCGCCGTCCGCGTCCAGCAACAAAGAACCCGAGAAGCAGAAGAACAGCACCGGCAAAACCACAGCCCCTCAGGCTCAAATACTGACGCCTCAGAGACCTTCGTCCCGCCGCAGCATCCTCTCCCTCCGCCCTGGAGATGCCGAAGAAGACGAGATCTCATTGATCCTCGATTCCTGGTCTACCCCCAGAACAGAGTCCGCGTTACCCCCTCGGGTGGTGAATTTGTCTTCCATCCGCAAGAGTACACTGGCCAAACTCGCCGGCTCCTCGCCGCTGCGCAGTCGCGGCAGTATCATGTCTCCGACAGGCCTCGTGGCCAGCGGCGGCGGAGGCAGCGGGCTGCGCTTCCGCACGGCCCGGGAAGGCTTTGGCGGGATGAGCACGCCGACCAAGAGGAAGCGACTTGCGTCTCCAGGAAGCCAAGCGGGGTCGCTTATTCGGACGCCTGGTGGACAGCTGCGCAGGTGCGGCGTGGATGGTTTCAGCTGTGACAGGGACTTCTGCTTCACCTGCCTCCAAGGATAGACTGTTCAATATACAGACCACATACAATTCGATTAAATACACCAGAGTCAGAGCGTCTCGTCTTGTCATGTTCGCTGCAGCCCTCGGAGCGACTGTCACGGAACAAACATATTCTGACACGCACAGATTAAATCGCTGTTTCGTTGGAATACCATACACCTGCAATGGAAAAACGCAACTAGGGGAAACCAAAGAGACGTGCCATCTGTGCAGCATGTCCTTCTTTTCCCAAGGCCCTCCTCTTATCATGCCTCCTGAGAAAATCAAACGACAACGCCGCTATCCGCCCTAAACCAACATAGTCCTCCCTCGCATTGCCATGCCGTAGTCCGTCCGACCGTAGCCGCTGTGTACTCCCCTCGAAGCACCCCTCCTTTCCCATGTCTGAATTAATTAATTCCGGCCGTTTGAACGGTGCATGAGCTTCCTGACGCTGACAAAGAACCGAAGAGAGACGAGTGGCGCGTCCGTCCAGATGGACAGAAGGGGTCCGTTTAGAGATGATTTGTAACCCAGTGTCGTCGAGAGTCGGAGATGAGGAGACAAGTGGGGTGAGAGTCGGTGCATCTGTACGTCGAGTTTGAGATTCAAAGGTCCCTCAGCGCGAATGTTGACCTTGCGGTGCCAAGACGCACGCTGCGGTGGCAATGTCCTGCAGGGTATCACTTGTGAACTCGAATATTGAGCGCCTATTTCTTCTGATTGATATTGTAGATCATATGCTGCGGCCGTCACTCATGAGGTGGAGGTGGAAGATGCGTCGGCTTCCCGAAGGCTCTGCTTGAACGTCTCGGGGTCGCGAACGGGGTTGAAGTAGGGGTGGGCCTGAGCTTCCTTGGCAGTAAGGCGATCCTGGCAGGATTATTAGTCACTAGTATTCCGAGTAATGATGCGCAGTACATGAGGACATACCTGGTGGTCGTATCTCAACAGCTTGTCGAGGAAGTCAATCGCCTCGTTGCTAATGAAACGTTGGTTCTCCGACGTGACGAAACCGTGCCAAGGCTTCTTCTGGAACCGCCCGAGAATATCGTCGTATTGGGCATCCAGCTCAATCTCGTATTTGTCGAGGTAGTCGAACAAGTCGTCGGTTCCAAGCACCTTAGCAATCTTGACGAGCTGATCCGAGTTACTGTTTCCATGGAAGAAGGGCTCCTTCCTGAAGATCATGCTTGCGAACATGGCTCCGAGACTCCACATGTCTAAGCTGTAATCGTATTCCTGGAAATCCACCAAGAGCTCAGGACCCTTGAAATAGCGCGAGGCAACGCGAACGTTGTACTCTGTGCCGGGGTGGTAGAATTCGGCCAGACCCCAGTCGATTAGGCGCAGCTAGTGGCGTGAGTCAGCGACATATTCGGCCATCGGAGCACGTTGGCAGGCAATACCTTTCTGTTCTCATGATCGATCATAACGTTATGAGGCTTAACGTCACGATGCATGATGCCCTTGCTGTGACAGAAGTCAAGCGCCTTCAGAAGTTCGTTGATGTAATAGCGAACGTCGAGATCGTTGAACTTTGGGTACAGGCTTCGGAAGTCAATGTTGTTAACATGTTCGAAGATCAGGGAAGGCGTTTTGCTCTACAGTCTCGAGTCAACAAGCTGTCGTGGAGTCGATACAGTATCCCGTCGTTGTGCGCATACCTGACTATCCCTAACGACGTCCAACAATGCGACGACGTTTGGTCCGCCTGCCAGGTTCTGGAGAATCTTGATCTCACGCTTGATCTTCTTCTTCTTAACCGGCTTCAGAACCTTGATGACACATTTCTGGTAGTTGACGACGTTGATACCCTCAAAGACCTCGGAGTATTTGCCGCGCCCTGTCACATGTCTTGTCAGTGGCCTGCCATGATAACTCGGCGACGCGCATCGGGTGCCATTCGTGGGGGAAACGCGCGACGCAAGGGAGCTGAGGGAAGCGCCATCGCGCGGGCAGGACAAACGTACCGATCTTCCTGACCACTTCGTAGTTCTCGAGAACTCCCCAGCCTGCGAAGAATCTGATCAGCATAACTGCAAGTAGATTATTGTCGTGGGTACGCCCTGGAGAGACGAACTGATGTTGACACTGTCGTAGTCCCAGTAACTGCGGGGCATGGTCTGGTTGACATCTGCGTAGACCCGCGCCATCTTGGGCTCCTGGTGCCTGGCGATTCCCGCGCAGGACTGAAGTGGCGTGGTGGTGGTAACGAAGGATACTGTGTCGCGGGAAAGAGGGGTCTAGCCCGGCTGGCGGTTCATCAACGGGGTGATGCGAGGTGGATGATCGGGGAGGGAGTAAATCAAGGTGGGATGTCCAAAATCAGACCTGGCAGCCTGGCCTGTGATTGGCGCCCGGTTCAGCCGCCCGCGCGCCTGTCGCATGTGGCGTTTCCCACACCGTGAGTCCACCCTGGCCCGCACACCGAAAGTCCAAAGCTCATTCATGATCATGTCACCGAACTTAATCTAGTTCAACTGGAGGATTTATCAGGGGATTCACTGTCGCATGCTGTTTTAAATTCAATATAACTCAGCGGAGTTTAACGCTACTTCCAAGATCAGGATTTTTTTCTTTAAGCCTATCTGCCATACACCTGCGCAGCGTTCAAGTTGATAGCGTGACGCATCCTATTGCGCTTGCAGCTAAGCCTCCGCGGCTCCTGTTCCCATATTCCCATCACTCTCCTTTCAAATCACGACAAAAGTGACTCCATGTCGGATGTCGTGTCATCTGAATATGTCTGTAGGCCCATTCCATCAGGGCAGAGGTTTTCGCTGGTGGGCCGGTGGTCACGTTGCCTCCATGATCCTTGAGCGCCGTAACCACTGCTTGAGGCCCGTAGGCATCTTTGTGCTGGACTTATGCTGTCTCCTTTAAAGAAAACTCCGTGGTGCACGCGTAGCACTAGCCCGGCATCGCCTTCCTCGAGGGAATAGCTTGAGGCCTCACGCTTGATCCCTGCACCTCGTGTGCGTCTGCTAGGTACAGGCCTATAAAGGGGGCCGAGTTTGACTGCAGGCAGGCATGTGCCTTATTCCTAATACGACTGCGGCGTTAGCTAGGTCCGCCACGAGTGTAGGAGAAAATGAATGAGTTCGAGGTTTGCGCTCAGAGAGAAGATTATTGCTCGACATGTCCAAGCTCAAGGCCGAGAAGTCGACCAAGATCGAACCGCTCGACCTTTCAAGCTGATAGGTTCCGACTAAGGATGACAATACAATGGTTTTCATCATCGCGAGAAATGGGTTTCATAATGTAGTTGTTACTTACTTTCTGTCGCGAAGGGTGCAAATAGGAAATCGTCTGGCCAGAACAATACCCCCGAGGAGGTGCGAGCGCGTCATTATTCTTCAGTTGAGGGTCTTCGGTGCCTATCGGTAGACACTGCGGACGACGAGATGGTGTGCGAGAATCCGAAGTATGTTCAATCGTATTCAAGAGTCTCGAGGCCCGTTTCAACGATGTCCCAAGTTCGCTTTCGCAGATCGGGTTTCGGCTCATACGGCTTGCTCCGGGCGGATTTCTTGCCTTTCTTCTTTTTCTTGCCGGCCCCGGAGGATGCAGTCGGGGTTGGCTTTGCGTCGGAGGTTGCATTTCCACCATCTTCAACTTCGCCATCTTCAGCTTCGTTTCCGCTGGGTTGATCAACGACGGCAGGTAGCTTTTCACCCTTGCGACGTAACGTCTCAAGCTCTGAATGACGGAACATGGCAATTTGCTCGTCGGTCAAAGTGCGTTTGACGCCATCGTCATAGTAGCCGAGGCCATCATCATCGTCTGGATACTCAGGCTCTACATCATCCAGGTTATGAATTAGAGAAGCTTCTCTCTGAGGGTTGAGAAAGTCAGAAGTAAAGCCGCCGGTAGCAGAAATTGAAAAGTGCGCCTCATGGAAAGCGACAAGCTCGTGCTGATGAGCATGTCAGTGACGACATTCAGGGACGCGGGTGTTGGACGGAGAAGATGCTTACATGACTGATCTGTGGGGGTGGGAATGGCGCATTGACAGCTTGAGGTGTTCTTGCTGAAAATGCCATCCTGACCATTAAAAAGGGAAGAAATGGACGGAACTGGTTCTGGGCAGGGTCTCGCTTTGTTTGCGCCGTCGCAAAAAGTTAGTGGTGCTGAGGCCAAAACTGACGTTGATGAGATCAGGTTGGTCGCGTCTGGTCATAATGAGGAAAACTTGAGGTGCCATTTCCCAAGACGAGCCAGGGTCACGTGCACAACAGGTTCGCGGAGCAACGACGTGGCACGAATTCGCATCTGCCGATTGAGCCCGACAGAATAAAATCTGCTACATCGCGCCGTTTTTGATGCTCAATAACAAGACTTGGCATCGAGGGAGTGAGGTGGCAGACAGGTCCATCTGCGTACATAAAACCCCGGCCCCCACTCCCATCTTTCAAGCATAAACGCACTGGCTTCATCGCAAACCTGCCTTGGTGATCAAGAATCGGTTTGACCAAGAAGGGCCAAGGCACTCTGGAAAGCTTGAAGAACTTCAGACACTTTGTCGGTGTTAGCAAGAGCTGCATGCATCTGACGATTGGGGGGGCTGAGAACTGACTGTGCTGCTGCCGTTGCGCCATGGTCTGCTCAGAAAGATTGACAAAACGCTGTCGGGTTTGAAGTCGCTTTACTGCGCGCTGGGTATCATGAGCACTCGACGATGCTGCCCAAATGTTGAAGAACTACAGAATCATGACCCATGTGAGTTCAACGTATCCACGAAGGACGTTGGACTGAAAATATGGTGCTCACCTTGACCAGCTCGTTGAACTCATTCATGAGTTCCTGTTCCTGGCCATCGGCATCTGTGAGAGCCTTGTGGTACCTGGCCTCAAAGTCTTCCCAGTCGAACGAGGTGAAGACGCCCGGGGTGCTGGGTGTGTTGGCCCGTCCATTGCTAAGTTGCTGTTCAGGACGAGGCTCGGGTGTGGAGATGGATTGAATTTCTTTGACATCCTGTGGGTCCCCCGCCATGTTGCTCATGCCGTTCCGGAGAGTGGAAATGTGGAATGAGTCGTCAGATGTAGAAGAGAAGAAAGGCGCCCTTCGTATGACCGATAATGAGGCAGCAGCGTTCGTGGTCGTTGCCTTGGTGAATCAGGTGTCGAAGCAGCGGTGACTGCACTCGAACGCTTGCTAATCCAATATTTCAGTTGCTTATTCCTCTTCCAGGGTGGCTATTCTGCCGTGCAGAGTTTGTGCTCTGCGGTTGTGAGGAAGGACTACCCGATATGCAGTTGGTCTTCGCGTTTCGGGTAGGTAATCATTGATGTTGCTCCTAGGTTTGATCCCAATGAGAGCAAATACGCTATCCACTGGGCGTCCGCTATCACCCGTAGAAACTGCTGTAGTGCTCATGAACTAAGGAGTGAGCATGTCGCTTTGCCTTTCCAGTGAAGGTATGCTGATGAGCCTATGGTCCTGACAGGCATCAGATGACGAGCATGGGTTGCAAT